CAAGATTTTATATTTTTAAGTAATGTCTACACCCAGTGTGGGGTTCGAACTCAACCCCAAGGTCAAGAGTTGCATGCTCTGCTGAGTGAGCCAGCTGGGTGCCCTGATACTTGTTTTTTATTTGCTCCATTTGTTTTTGTTCTCTTTTTTTCTTTTCTGGCCTTCTTTTGAAATGTTTATGATTCCATCTTGTCTACTTTGTTGTGTTATTAGCCATGAATTTTGTTGTGTTACGTTAGTCATTGTCTTAGGGCTTAAAGTTTACATCTTTGTCTCAGTAGAGTTTACCATCAAGTGTTATTATTATACTACTACTCATATAGTATAAGATCCTCAAAATAATGTAATTCCATTTCTCTTTTTTTTGGCCTTTATGCAATTGTTGTCATGCATTTATTTTTGTTATAAACCCCACAACAAATTCCCAGTATTTTTGTTTAAACAGTTGTTTACTGTGGATCTTTTTTGTATCTTTTGTGTCTGTACTTAACTTTCTGAACTTTCGGAATGGAGAAAGAACTAGGGTTCCGCATTGAAAACTCAAACTCAGTGCTGTCTTCAAGACCTCTGCTAAACGTAGGGTGGGCATGGGTTATAGGAAAGTAAAAATGCCCAAAGCTTTCCTGCCATTTTTAAGTTGCCCTTTTCTTGGTTTAGTGTTTGGTTGCTGCAAATCTTTCATTCTCTTTTCCAGAGTGCTAACAGAATTGGTTCTGACGGTTCCTGCGTGATTTTGTGATATTTCCATGGTGGAAGGTACTCTTGGAGCTTCCTACTCCACTATTGTGGCTGATGGAAGTCTGGGAATTTTGCCTTCCTTTATATCTTCTTCAGGTTTGTTCTGAAATACAGTTAGTTTCCTTAGAAATAGTTAGATCCTGTCAGGTCCTGCTCTTATGATTTATTAGGAGCAGTACTTGGTCTAGGGGTAATTATTTCCCACTATGGAGGCAAGATCTTTCTGAGTATTCAGATACCCAATGTCCTGAGAGTTGAGGTTTTTCAGTCTGGCTAAGGAGACCAGGCAATGTTCCTAGCTCTTCCTGTCTGCTGGATACAGTTTCCTTTACTTCTTTTTGGATGGTTCTTTTTTCAACCTCAGGTAATTTCTTCTCTCATATGTTCAGTCCTTTAATATTCAAATGGTGTTCTCTGTATCTCTCTGTGAGCATTTGTTCTCTCTGTAAAGAGTTTTCATTTCTGGTGCTTTGTCCTTACAGTTTTAGCTGCCTTGGTCTTACCTGATGTGAACTTTGGGAGTGTTCTGGGCTTGGCCTTAGCTTCTCTCCCTGTGCCTTGGCCTGGAAGAATTCTCAAGATGTTAAACTGGGCAAACTGAGAGCTCATCTTATTTGTTTATTGTTCCTTTGGGATTACTATCGTCGTTATCTGATACACAGCGTCTTGAAAACCATTGTCTCAATTATTTTATCTTTTTATTCTTTTTTTGCCATGGGAAATATGTATTGTTCATGCAAGAAGCCAAATATGGTCCCTGTTTCTCCATCTTGACCAGAAGAAGTCTGCTATTTTTTTCTTTTTTAAAAAAAGTTTATTTATTTTTTGTATCTCTACACCCAACATGGGGCTTGAACTCATGACCCTGAGATCAAGAGCCTCATGCTCTTCTGACCTAGACAGCTAGGTGCCACCTATTCTTTAACTTTGATTTTTACTTTATTCCTTTCTTCCCTTTTTTCCCCCTTCTTTGTGATTATTTGAATATTTTTTAGCATTGCATTTAATCAGTTTAGTAATGCACTTAGCGTTGCATTTAAATTTAATTAATTGCATTAAATTACCTTTTTGGCCGTATTTATGTATATAGTAGTTGCTCTTGGGATTACAGTTCTCATACTAATAATTTTAGACTACTCTGTGTACTGCTTCACACAAAATGTAAAAACACTGAAACCATATAGATCTCTTTTACCTTCTTCTCCAGTCTTTACTGTAGTTTTAATATGTGTTAAATTTATATACACTGAAAACTTTACCAGATCAACTTTTAACTTGTGATGTAAGCAGTCATGTATTTTCATGGAAGAGAATATTGTTGTTTTATCTAGTCATTAGCCATTAAAAGTACCTACATGCTTATCATTTTTTTACTTCATCTTGGAGCTTTCTTCTTGGCTCATTTTTCCATTGCCTGAGGAAAATTACTTAGTGTTCCCTTTAATTGAAATCTGTTTAAAGATAGTTTTGGACTTTATTTATCCAGTTGTTCGTTTGTTTATTTATTTAAACACAAAATTTATTGTCAGATTGGTTTGCATACAACACCCAGTGCTCATCCGAAAAGGTGCCCTCCTCAATACCCATCACCCACCCTCCCCTCTTTGCCACCCCCCATCAACCCTCAGTTTGTTCTCAGTTTTTAAGGGTCTCTTATACTTTGGCTCTCTCCCACTCTAACCTTTTTCTTTTTTTTTTTCCCCCCCCCCCCCCCCCCATGGTCTTCTGGTAAGTTTCTCAGCATACGCATAAGAATGAAAACATATGGTATCTCTCTTTCTCTGTATGACTGCTTTCACTTAGCATAACACTCTCTAGTTCCATCCACGTTGCTACAAAAGGCCATATTTCATTCTTTCTCATTGCCAAGTAGTATTCCAGTGTATATATAAACCACAACTTCTTTATCCATTTATCAACTGATGGACAATTAGGCTCTTTCCATAATTTGGCTATTGTTGAAAGTGCTGCTATAAACATTGGGGTACGAGTGCCCCTACGCGTCAGCACTCCTGTGTTCCTTGGGTAAATTCCTAGCAGTGCTATTGCTGGGTCATAGGGTAGATCTATTTTTAATTTTTTTGAGGAACCTCCACACTGTTTTCCAGAGTGGCTACGCCAGTTTGTATTGCCACCAACAGTGCAAGAGGGTTCCTGTTTCTCCACATCCTGTCCAGCATCTATAGTCTCCTGATTTGTTCATTTTAGCTACTCTGATATCCAGTTGTTCTTTTGATGATAACTTGCCTTTTGGTTGTATGAAGATTTTTATCTCTTTCTTTTGGTTTTCTATAGGTTTACTAATTGGCCTAGGTATGGATTTGTTTTTATTTATTCTGAGATTTACTGCGTTTCTTCTGTCCATGATTTGCTGTGTTCTGTTCTGGAAAGTTTTTAGGTATTATCATTTGAAATTTTGCTTTTGTGCTACTTTGTCTCTCACATTTCTCTGGGATTCTAATTACATGTGTGTAAGACCTGCTGATTATATTCTTCATGCTTCTTGTCCTGTTACTGTATTTTTCACACTTTTGTGTTTTGTGCTAACATTCTGGACATTTTCTTCTGACCTATTTTGTTGTTGCCTTCTAATTCTGTTTTCATCTATGTCTAAACCGTTGTTGATCCCATCCATTGATTTTGAACAAATTTTTGTTTTTACTTCTAGAATTTTTTATTTATTATTATAGTTTTCAGTTCTTTGAAAAAATTTTCAACTTTGTGTTGTATTTGAGCATAATAAGTATACTTATTTTAATGTCTGTGGCTAAAACTCCAAAATATAGATCTGGTTTGACTTTCTTGTTTCTGCTGGTTTTCATTTATGTTGTGTCTTTCATGTGTTTGGTACTTTTATTGTGCTGAAAATGATAATGAACCAATAGTAGAAGTTATTTGTAGTCAAGATTACATTGTTTTCCTCCAGAGAGGATGTATAATTTGCTTCTGTCTGGTGCCTGGGGGCACTTGTAATTTAGTATAACATGAGTCCAGTTTCAGAGTTTGAGATGAACTTAAAGCCTAGGTGCAATCTCTTTGAGGGCCTGTGTGCTTGGATTATTCTGGCTTGCAGCCTTCAGTGTCTCAGCTGGAAGGAAGGGAGGGGCTTACTCCTCCCCCTTCTCCTTCAGTTGTCTGTGGACATAGATCCCTGTATTTCCAGCCTTCTGAGTTTGTCAAAACCACCTTTTTTACCTGCTTTCTGTGAAATAGGCAGTGGGGGGGCAAAAGTGGCCAAAAGCTGTACTCACCTCCTTGGACTTTCATTATTTTCCAATTTTGGCTCAGTATTTCCTCATTATCACAGTTCTTTGATAGTTTCAGCCACATTTCAAAAACTAAAACATCAATATTTATTTATTATTATTAAAAAAATTGTTTTAAGTTTATTTATTTTGAGAGAGCAAGCAGGGGAGGGGGCAGAGAGAGAGGGAGAGAGTGAATCCCAGGCAGGCTCCGTGCTATCAGCCCAGAGCCCGATGTGGGGCTCGAAGTCATGAACTATGAGATGATGACCTGAGCTGAAACCAAGAGTTGGATGCTTAACTCACTCAAGCCACCTGGTGCCCCCAAACATTAATATTTATTAACTACTAAAATATTTTAAGTTAAATATTGAAACAGTAAAATAATGAATGTTAGTACTAGTATTTAAAGTATCAATATTAATATAAAAGTTAAAATTTTAATAATTGACATTTAAGATTAAAATTTTAATTTTAGGTATTCAACTATAAAGCTTCTTACTTTTTAATTTAAAGTTTATTTATTTTGAGAAAGAGAATAAGCGTGAGTGGCGGTGGGAGGCAGAGAGAATCCTAAACTGGGTCCACACTGTCAGCGCAGAGCCCGAAGGGGGGCTTGAATCCACAAACTGTGAGATCATGCCCTGAGCCGAAGTCGTACACTTAACTGACTGAGCCACCCAGGCGCCTCTAAAGCTTTCTTATTTTCTCATAGTGGTTCTCAGAAGTAGTGTTGACTCAAATCATTTAGTGTGCTCTTATAAGAAGTGTCCGTGCTAGCATTTGCATTTTAAGAATGTTCTTTTGTTTGTGCCGTTGTGCTGGAGAAATGATGGAGTGCTTTATCAGTAGTGGTTTGACTATTTATAGTCAGTAATGAGAATTTGTTCATCTTTTTGTTGTACTTTTGCTTAACTAGGCTTTGAAGGGATCTCTTTAGGAAGTTAATGATTTTGTTTATCTTTGAAAAAGTTTTATTGAAAACTGGAAAATGACATTATTTTTATTTATTTTTAGGTTGGGCTCATGTGGTTTGTGCCCTGTATATTCCAGAGGTACAGTTTGCCAATGTTTCTACAATGGAACCAATTGTTTTACAGTCTGTTCCACATGATCGTTACAATAAGGTACAGTGGATGTTATTTTATTGATGTTTAAATACAACTTTTTTGTTCTAAAACTGGGAAATGTAAAAGGATTTTTTTTTTGTATTTTGTTTTATTATAGGCTTTCATTAAAAAAATTTAAATCATAGGCCTCCAGATTCCAGAGAGATTTGAAAAAAGTATAATTACTAAATGGTAAACTACATTTATTAAAATATGTTGTAAAGTCACAGGAGTACAACACAAACAAAAATATATTACCTTTTATACTCACCTATGTATTTAGCATTTTAACGTTTATGTGACATTTCCGTCCTTATATAGATTTGTCCTTTAAGAATTACTGGCTTTTTAGGTTCTTTCAAACATAAAGGTTCTATTAAATTCGAATTAATCATTATTTGGTATAACATTTGTTTTGATACTATACATCCTTTCTTGAAAAATAACCCTATTACAGAATACTACGTGCTTCTTTTCCTTTCCCCAGTTCTTTTCTATCCCCAAGATAGGATTTTTGTTGTTAGCTTTTTCTTAACAACTTAGTTAATATTTTCTTTGCTTTGCTCCCCCATATCTTTTTCTTGATTTATAGTACATATATATGTATTATTGCTTCATTCTCTTTTTGTACGTTAGATGATTTTTCTTTCACCCAATGTGTCTTTAGGTATGGTGTCACCATTAATTTAAGGTACTGTTACTTTATTTCATTTGTGGGGAGAAATTATCACTACCACCAATTCTAACACAAATATTTTTGTGTTAAACATTTTACAATATAGGTTATTAATATTTATTTTTAAAATTGAAAAATACAGGAAACCAATAGAAAAGTGCAAGACAGAAGTCATCCTAATCTTCTCTTTCTGATCTTCTTAGATTTTTGTGTGTGTGTACATTTTTATATGTAATACATATTTATTAAAATTGGATTATATTGCTTATACTGGTTTGTTTGTTTTTGAAATTTATCAACCCTGAACATCTTTTTGTATCAGTTACGTTTTTGACATTATTTTTAGTGGATAGTTAGCATGTAATATACAGTATTATTAGTTTTGATAAACTGGTTAAGGAATGTCTAACTGTTGAAGGGCCTTGATTGGGTTTGGCTTTGGCTTTGGCTTGTACGTAGCAATAGAATCTCTGTGTAAAGGGGTGCGAATGTTTTGTAAGCTTCCATAAATATATTGTATGAAATTGTACTGTGGAATGCAGTTTCTAATTTATGCTACATGAGTAATAGGTGACAGTGCTAATAACCTTATATCCTGGTAAGTGCACTATATATTACCATTAAAAAAATCTTCGCTATTGTTTTTAGTGAAAAATATTAGTGTCTGATTTTTTTCTGAGTAAACAGTAAGGTTAAATATTTTACACTTAAAAAAATTTTTTTTTAACGTTTATTTATTTTTGAGACAGAGAGAGACAGAGCATGATCGGGGAGGGTCAGAGAGAAGGAGACACAGAATTCGAAACAGGCTCCAGGCTCCGAGCTGTCAGCACAGAGCCCGACGGCGGGGCTCGAACCCATGGACCGTGAGATCATGACCTGAGCCAAAGTTGGCCGTTTAACTGACTGAGCCACCCAGGCGCCCCTACAGTTTTTAAAAAAAGCCTTTCATGTTTGTTGACCTTGAAAAGCTCTTTGTTTGTTTTAATATTGTAATGTTTTTCTTTTTTCTTTTTCCTTCTTTTTTTTACTGTTTTACTTATTTTTGAGAGGGAGAGTGCACGCACGTGCGCGAGCAAGCAGGGGAGGGGCAGAGAGAGGGAGACCCAGAATCAGAAGCAGGCTCCAGGCTCTGAGCTGTCAGCACAGAGCCTAAAATGGTGCTCGAACCCACGAACCATGAAATCTTGACCTGAGCCAAAGTTGGACGCTGAACTGACTCAGCCACCCAGGCACTTCTATTTTTTCTTGTAAAATTTGCTCTCTTCCGTAGAGCTTTATTTATTTTTTTAAAGTTTATTTATTTATTTTGAGAGAGAGAGAGGCTGGGACAGGGGCAGAGAGAGGGAGAGAGAGAATC